GTGTGTGTGTGTGTGTGTGTGTGTGTGTGTGTGTGTGTCTGTGGAATAGAGGCTATTGCTGTTACTGAATACTGATTTTAAATATTGCATTACTGGGTAATAATTATAAACATGTCCTGTTTTTATAAAGTTATAAAATTACATTTATAAAATTATGAACATATATGTTTATATCTGTTTTATGACCATTTTATTACTTATATAGTACACTAATGTGCTAAAGTAGTGCTAAAATATATTATTGAGTGTAATATATTTTAGCACAAAAAATGTAACCACCATTGAGAATTACAACAACAAAAAAACTTTAAAATGTTTGGACAAATTACAGTAATACGAATTTGGGGAAATGTGCTTAAATGGCATGCAAGTAAAGTCTTAATGATCTTAATGTTCCTAAAAATAAAATTCATTTTCTTTGTGCAAATATAGATATATATTGATAAACAAATATAGATAGGGAGAAAAATGAAATTTTAAAATTCAATGATAGTGACGTTCACACAGACACACGTGTGAGAGGATGAGTCGGACACTCTCTAAAAGGCCTCATAGAGAATCAATTAGCATTTAAATTAATGATGGTAATAAGGCTCAGAGCGCTATCTCACATGCAGCAGGAGCAGAAACCCACCGATCCCGTCAAAGACCTTCAAAGATATTCAAATCACAGTTTAATCCAGCGGAGGACGTGAGTCCGACTAAAATAAAGGCCCCGGCGCTCCTTTCCACATGCACATGGGAAGCATTAATATAATCATTTATTACAATTTCCACCATATCTTTTAGTTAAAAAAACTAAATTAAAGATTGACAGATATAGAAACAACAGTAAAGGTGTATCGGTGAATGAATGATTGGAAATACACAAGAGATTGGCAGAGAAAAGCCTCTCATTCAGTCTTTTGTGAGGCCATTGAAAAACAGGCGCATTAAAGAGCAGCTTGTGCTAGCTTTGATTCTCCGCTGGCCAATCAGACGCGGTGTTTGCCCAACTCAAGTACACCTGTCCCATGAATGCATTAAGCATCTGTGCTCTGATGAAATACATTTCAATCTGAGCTTATGAAAACACATTAAACAGCGCTGATGTTCAGAGACACTGCATGAACATTCCTGTGACGTGAACAAACATCATCAACACGTCATCAGTCTGTGGAAACTTCC